GAGCCATTTACCATTGACTGATCGAAAATATGCAGACGTTTTAATCTCATCGAGATGAGAGTACAAGAGAGATTTGCATCGAATTAATTAATTTCAATTAATTCAATTATTCGAAACAGGAAATAGAGGATATAGACTACTATATAATACTTTATGTTTAGCAATCATTTAGATTATTACGCGGGGAATTAGAAACTGTCATTGACTTTATTATTATTTGCTATATCTAGATATATACGGAAACCAAAGTAAATCGAATTTAAGAACCGTTGTCTTGTTGCTTTGCTGACATTTAATGTCGTACACGCGAATGAACGACATGGAGGCCCAGTTATCGCTTATTCAGACTGACGGGATACAAAATTACAACTCGACACACACGCTTTGTACGAAGATCGAAATAATCCATGCACCTGTGTTTTTCCACGCGAAATACCATATGTATCTTTACTCACGAATAACCAAGGTCGGTCAAAACGCGATCGATCAACTCTTTGCTAACAATTTTCTTTACTTTTCTACATCATTTACGATAAATGATGATTCATCTTTAAGCTAAAGAGCCCCCGTTTTTTACACTTTTATGGTCTCGTAGGTAGAAAAGACATACAGAAAGAAAAGTTTTCAGTATTTAGATAATTACATATTATTGTGATTATTATTACTGCTGTAATATTAGTAATAATAGCTATAATAATTTTTTATTGTCAACTATATATAATTTATTGAATATAGAACTATATTTGTAAGTATTATTACGATACTAACATTATATCATCAATAACAATCATAATTATAGTAACATGTAATTATATATAGTTACAAATGTATAAGTACATACATAGTATAAATATATAGTTACAATACTAAAAATGTTTCTCTCAGTGCAATACACACATTGAATCGACAATAAAAACGACAGTAATCATTTAGGAATACCTGCACTGCAAAACTTTTTTTATTAACAACAAATAAATTGATAATCAATAAATTTGATTAATTAGGTAGTCCGTTATTGATATAAAGAGCAATGTATGTGTGTGTGTGTGTAAAAAATTCTGTAAAATCATTTTGAATTTTAAACTATCTTTTTATATAAATCGATTTTATATAAAAAGATAGTTTAAAATGCGGAATGATTTTACAGAAATTTTTTTTACATCACGATGAAATCGTCGCTGTTCCGATTATACCGCAAATAATGGACCAACCTGTATTCCATCGCGAGATAAAGTTAATCGATGGCTTTCATAAACATCGATGGATTTCTCGATGAATTGCAAATCGAGATTGTTCCCGTGGATATCAACGTGGATTTTCCAAAATCGGAAAAGCAACAGAGAGAAAGAGAGAGAACGAGTTACTGTAAACGCGCTGCGATTACAGTAAAAAATTCAGTCATTGTACGATAAGCCTCGTGAACCAGAGACGCAGTGAAGTGTATTTCGTCGGAACCTTTTGCTCGCTAAAACTTCCATCGCGATATGTAAGGTCACTTCTCACGCGATAATCGATCGCGTCTGTCATATAACTCCTCGCTCAATGCTGACAGAAAATGTAACCAGAACATAAGAAGGGCAAGAACAAAAGCTATAAGATAGATAGCTATAAATAGATCTTTATCTATTTATAGAGAGAGGAAAGCAAAGAGAGTGAAAGAGAATTAGTTAAAAGAGAAGCGCGCGGAGATTAGAATTTAATTCGATATTAACTTGACGCGTACGAGACAGACGGAGAAGGAACAGCAAGGACTTCATTCAAGCGCAACGCGATATAAACTGTTCGTCCAAAAGTTTACGGAGAGATTAAACCAGCTAGCCACGTCAACATTATTGAAGCGCGTATATGAGGACGAAACGGTTCATAGGAAAATGGACAGTCGTGGAAAGCGATGGAAATCCGAGAGTAAATCTACAGTTAATTAACCCGACTGACAGAATAACGGAGTAAATCATATTTGGAAGATAATTTGTATAATAAATCCGTCATTTTTAATTTTTATTATACATATGTAATTGTTATTATTAACATTTGAAAAATTAACATTTCTTGTTTAATTATATCATCACAATAAATTTTTTTAAATAGTTTTCTTTTATAGAATCACAAAATTAATTGCGCAGCTGATTTTTCGAAGCAGATTCGTACATTTCTATTTATTACGACAAGAGAAATATATCATTTATGTTATTATTCCGTTCCTACGAAAATGGAATATGTCCCGTATTGTATTTATCTATAACAAATAAAGCAGAGTCGTTCACATATGAATAAATTAAAATTAATTAGTTGTTCTCGTAACCAACAAAATTATAAAACAAATGCTAAATATATATGATGTGTGCTATCCGCCAAATTAATAAACGTTCTAAATGTTTGCAGAGCCACAAAAGCGATGGAATCGATGGAAGCGATTTACATTCGCGCGCACATCATTGTTGGAAACAATCCATATTACTATAAATCCAATTACCCGATATGAATACCATAAATTCAATATTCTCCCGCCGCAATCTCGGTACTATCGAAGTAATAATTAATATACGAGCCGCAAGTAGAGCGATCAACTTTCGAATACGGAGTTCGCTCAAACGCGCCACGAGCTTATAAGTGTCCCCTCGATCATCATCACTTCCATTCGTGATGAAGATCCAGAAGTTCCATGTCGGGCTTCAATTTTCTCCCCGAGGATCTCCTAATAAAAACGCAAGGAGATTGAGGAGACAAACGAGAAGGACGCGAGCATGGCTGGATGCTCGTCAGGTGCCGGTCCTCCAGTCATTCAACCAACACCCCGAACGTAATCCCTTTGTCCGTCCACAACGAGGACGATGAAACGTGTCGAGGATACGTTATCGAGACTCGTTCGATATGTTCACGATCGAATAGCACACGTTGAGAAAAATGTAAAAAATATCCGAATCAAAATTCAGCCAGTATTCAGGCACGCGATCTATTTCCTTATTCCGATTGGTTTTACATTACATCAAACTTTCTTTTGTGATATATGAGTACTCATTTCCATTAACTGTATTTTTCATCGTATATTATAAAAAATTTCTGCGGTTTTATTAATAATAAGTTAATAGTTCCGCGTGAATGCCCAAGTAGATATTCTTGGCGCAAGTCGAATTAATTAGACTGATATTATATTGACTTGAAACGGACTATTAGTCAAACTATAATTTAAGTATTATTTCTAGAAAGTGACTTTGGACGAAATTACACAAAATTCGCTTTTCCTCACTAATTCTAAGGTGATTACTAAGCTTGAAAATTCACGTCGTCGCTACTGCCAACGACTATCGACCCGAGTGAACTGACAATGAGAAGTACTATTGGTTTCTAGGTTATTCCATCGCGGCGAACAAGAGTCTTACGATAAACGACTGTGGATTGCAGTGTAACGGTGTCAATATGCGAATTTTCACGATTAGAATTACATGCAAAGACATAATATTAAAACAAAAACCATATACTCGAGCTGTAGTGAAAAACAAATGATAAATTTGTTAATAATTCGTCGTCGTATGGGATAATTTTCATAATTAAAAATGATTTAGTTTTGTTTAAAGTCTTTTACATTAAATGAATTATGTTAAATTCAGTAACAACTCTCTATGAATCATTTATTTATGTGGTAGCAGAAGAGATAAAAAAGCACAACAATTTTTTAATGATGTTACTCAAATACTTTACTCCCCTTATTTTGGCAAACATATTTAAAATTAGCAAAAAAATATTATAAGAATCATACTATCAATTTAAGAAAATAATAAAGGAAATAAAATTTTATCGACTAATATTATTAAGAAAAAAGAAATCTTAAAGTACAAACATTCTCTTTTTCAAGAACTGTTAGCAAAAATCAAATACATATATCTTTAACGTGATGTGAAAATTAATCATGGAATATAAGACCATCATAGACTATAGAATTTGGATATATCATAAATTAGCTAATGATTGAAAGCTCTGCTTGGAACATTTTATTTTTATTATTTTGCAGAAGAAAAGAGATTTCGAATTACTATAGAGTTTTATAACTGTGATACTTAATCAGAGTGAAATAATAGATTACATATAGAAAACATATAGAGAACATAATACCTTCAATAATACTGTATTCAAATATTAATTATTTTATTTCAAGTATGTCAAAAATTTATATACTTACAAATCTTTTATGAGTTCATCGCAAGCATTAAATTTATTCAAAATATATATTCTGAATCCTAATAGATAGAGCAAGGCTATTTGAGCATAGGGGCAAATTGATCAAATGCAAATATCTAAATAACCAAAATATATATATGGATACGTCTATGCATG